AGCAGCAGCAGCAGTAGGGTTCCACTCCCGCGCGGATGACCATCAGTGCAACCGTGATATATGCCTGTCTACTTTCCGACCGGATGACCAGATTTGCAACAGCTGGAATGTAGTCATGTTTATGAGTTGCAAACATCTGCAGCAAAGTACGGCTTGAGTAAGATATAGTAAGATGCGGGGCACAGGCTACGAGAGGACGGTTCGAACACGAGACCGCCTGGCCTTTCTTGCTCCCTCTGTTCCTCCGCCAAACGCTCGGCAAATGCGACCTGAATTGTCTTCGGATAGCATGAGCAACTACTTACTATTGCTACCAGGACGACGCAACGGTGACTGTGATGACTTTGGTTCCCATCTTTCTACCATGGCAATAGTTGTCATGCATACGAAGGAGAACAGATGCTGCACTCTGACGCCGAGACGATCCGAAGCTCGTACCTCCTAAAGCCGTTAAACCCGGGCGGACCCACAACCGACACGTCACAGAAGATCAGATTCCAGGCTTCTGGCATCGGCCTTTGCTCGCTCCAGGCTTCGCCGCGCGGCCGCGAGTTGTTGGCCTCAACATGACGAGGGACTCGACTGCTGCACTTACTCATGACTGCACCGTGAGGCTGGCCACTTCGCGGCTCCAAGCTTCATGGAGAAAGTTGGTACGACACTATCTTCTTAAACTCCGTATAACTAAACCGTGACACCATATATACGGTATGGTCTCAACATGCCAAGTCAATTGGGGTTACAGCAGCCGAGACCTGTGGACTTCAGCATGTATGAAGCTCGCAGCAACTTCCCTCAACGTGGGCAGCTCACGCACTCGGCTCCTGGCGGTGCTGGCTTTGCCGCTCTGCTGTGTCCTGAGGCAGCGCCACAACAAGCCATCCATGTGGCGCAGCCTCTACTGACAAAGGAGTATCACAAGAAGCAATTGGCAAAAGGCAAATGCGCACTTTTGCTCTGAAGATGCCAGGGCACACCGCCGTTGAGCGGCCAAGCAATCGAGACCAACACACTGCATGTTGCGAGAAGGGGTTTCAGAAAAAAGCAAGTACGCCAATGTAGACTCCGAAACGGCGTGATCCTCCTTAGCAGGACACCCCAGAAAGATCCGCAACAAAAATGCTAGAAACCCCCTGATTCTGCACAGATCTTTGCGCTACCTTGCAAACGCCAAAGGAAACAGCTGCGGCAAAGCTACGGGCAAAACTTGGTGACCTGAGGTCGTGTTGAATTCGGCAACGGAGGCTTCGCGCCTCATGGATTCCCACTACGGCAGCAACACCTCAAAATGCACACGATGCCTTTCTCAAAAAAATCTTTAAGAGCTATGGGATCAGCCTCGCAGAAGAGAGCAATTGTGCTCTATCTCAGTAAACGAAGTTTAGCTTCATCCCATAGCTCCTTTGGCGAGAGGTCTTGAATTCAACGCTCAATCTCAGAGGCTTGAATTAAGAGGCTGCGGCCCGCCGCGTAGCTGCATCTCAAGGCTTGCATGCTTGGCGCCAGAAACTTCTAAACTTCTACTCGCTGTTAGTGTCCACATTGTCCACCTCCACTTGCTTTCTCTGGTCCATCATGATGTAGCCTGGAAGTTTCAGCAGGAACCTTTGAAAAGCACCTCTACTCCAGCTGACATGTCCAACCCGTCAAGGGAGCTTTGACCACAAGCTCGCCTGGAACAGTTCAACTCTACAGATCATACTGCCGACGCAGACCCTCAAAATCTGGCGTAGCGGCTTGAGCGCTGGAAGTTGATGCCGGTCAGCAGCACCAGATGCTCCTTGTCAAAATCATGAAGCCAACAGCAACCTGCATCAGCACGCCTGAGAGGAGATGACCCAAGACAAGCGATGCACATGTCTCCTTCAATTGCTTTAGCTCCACCTCCATGTAAGTCTGGAAGTGACTCTGGCCTTGGAAGGCGCGAGCCGCCAGATTTCACTCCTATACCCCTCCACACGTGATGGCTCTTGATTGTCTTTCAGTAGACTTACCAGTTGAAGGCAAGGGTAGCCTTAAAAGAACTTCCTCTCAACTCTAGCCGCTCCCGGTATTGTCGCGTCCCTTCTGCGAAAGTTGAATTCAATCACCGAGTTCCCACAGCAGCAGGCTGAGCTTCAGTTAGCCGGTGCATGCCCATGGATGAGGATCAGTGCTCTCGCCGTTGCAGCGAGGAGTAGCTTACGTCGCGAAGGAGTCCATCTTCCGTTTGGACCATGCTTAAGGGATCCAGGAAATGGAAAATGGAGCACTGGCAGAATCAAGCCCGTTGTCGAAACCACCCAGTCCCTGGTCACCATTGGATACGTCAAGTCGCTCTTGATGAGCCAGGTCTGGTCGTAGATTAGCTTCTCGACCTTCGGGCTTGAAGATGTCGTCTGTGCCGGGTGGAGGTGGAGGCTTGCAGAATACGTGTCAGATGAGTCCCGAAACCGGTGCCATCTGCTACTGCACGTATATAGCCCAGCGACATCAATGGCACGGGCTTGGCCGCGAAGCCGGAGGCATCCCATCCTGGCCGCCGTTATTTATTGACTTGTGAGTTGGACGCACCCACAGAACAGGTCGAGGCATCGGCGACTTGCTCTGGAATATGTAAGAGTTTTGGTGGAACTAGCGCGTCGAGATCGAACTACTGTGCTATGTTGGACGTAACCGGCTGGCATGCCGATTGCCAAGGCCAATAAAGTGTCTGGACAGCCCAAGTCTGTGTCTGGTTCAAAACGATCTGCCAGAGCAATACGACGGACAAGTGGCTAGGCTCGTCCGATGGATGCACTGAGTGCGCATAGCTCCGACCAATCGTACTGACTTGCAAGCCCTTACGATCCGTGTCCAGATGATTTGCAATCATACTGCCAAGCTGCAAGAATTCTTCGGTTTCTACAGCGCCACCTGAATCCAGGTCCAGCAACCTCGGTGCAGAGGATCTCGTGACCCAGAACATGTCACACAACTTGCTCGCCTAAACGAGGTGTGGCTGAAAGCGCAAGAAGAACACAAATGCCACCAAGGTGGCTTGAAGAAAGTCCAGGCCTCAGCAACCCGCACAAACCTGAATTAAGGTGGCACCGATCGGCCTGCGCCAAGATACTCTCCGACTCATAAAGTCTTCAACCCTTTTCGACCAGCCCTGAACTTGAAGCAACCGGCTCCAGGGGCCAGGCATCCCAGACATCCAAGCCAAGGGTCCTGGGAAGCCAGAGCAGCTGCCAAACTCTCACTGCACCTCTCTAGCAAAGCCAAGGATCTCGAAGTATTCCCGCACATCTGGTGAATCAATCTTCTCTTCCAGCATCGCAAAGGTAATGACACCAGTCTCCCGGTCATCAAACTGGCTGAACAGCGCCTGTATCCTCTCCACGTGGGCCTTCTTGTTGGCCAAAATGGACTGCACGACCGTTGCGTGGTCGTTCTGTGCACTGTCGATGGCCGACTGACAGAAAACTCCTGCACAGGATCGGCCACGAGAAAGTGCGTGGACTGCCGCATAGATGCAACTCCCCTTCTATTATGATTATGCGGATTCATTGGTTCATTGCGAACGACGACATCCTCCCATTTCAGCTCCCTCCCTGGCCCCTGACCCCAGTCAAAGCATAGCTCCTGTGACCACGTTGAGGACGGCAAAATACCTTACCCCAGCAGGAGATCAAAGGATGCTCGAGGATTTAAAAATCGAA